CAAGAGATGGCAAGGGTAGCTCCCAAGGTGAAAGTGAAGGGAAAGGACTTTTCAGAGAATAGCTATACACCAGACAAGCAGCCAGTCCAGAATGAAACAGTGTAACTCCAAACAGATTTTTTGAGGCCTTCTTATTTCACACTCTTGCACTTGACAATGTATGGGTAGAATGTTCCTAGAATCATACCTGTACTTAGCTTGCATGGACCATGTGCTGATAAAGTTCTTGCTCTCTCCTCCGTGCCCTGCTACCTGGATAACCAAAGACAATTCATTTCACCCCACAGAAGAATTTTGCTTTGAACTACTCCTGAGAGCTGAAGATTGGCCATGGTAAGTAAGTTTAGAAGCAAAAAAAAAAAAAAAGTACTCTACTCCTTCCTAATCATATTCCTGTCACATTTCCACACCTAGCACAAACTGCTACCCTGCCAGGTACCTTCTCTGAATGAGCCCCATTTCCTGGGACTCATTCTTGTTTTCCCCAAATGTGGACGGTAATAAACTCTGAAAAGCTGAAATCTGTGATTCTCTTATAAACTCATCTTCTCTTGAGAACCTTCATCCAACAGTAGAGTAGTGCCCTTTACATACATTGCMAGGTTTGTGCTTTCCTTCTGGGTTTTTAAATCAATCACCTTTTTATTCTCTTGTATATGAATATATATAGTTAAAATAACAAGATAGTTGAAAAAAATCTATTATTGCTGTTCACCATATTTTAAAAATAAAGGAAATTTTTTAAAGGGGGAAAAGACTATTAATAGGAGGCTATTTGATGACATATAACACTTGAATATTTTATGCCTCATTATATTTATCAGTTCTAGCAATCTGTATAAATGTACTTTAGAACTGATAAACAGTGAACTTAAATTTATCTTTGATAAGAATGCATGCTGGCTGAGGATACAGCTCAGTTGGCAGAGTGCTTGCCTTGCATACACAAGGCCCCAGTCCCCAGCACCACAAAAAAAAAAAAAAAAAAAAAAAAACACATGACATTGTACATTCAGATATTATTTAAATTTGTGAACACACTGTTCTATATGTAAGGTACTGTATGTAAAACTATTTATTCAAACTGTTCTACATATTCCAAAAAGTAAAAATAAAGGGGGAAAAACTGCATGATGGTATCTGTAGATTTACAGAAAGCATTCTGTAAAATTCAACATTTTGTTTATGATCTGAAAATAAATAATAAACAAAAGACCTTACAAACTAGTGATAAAATCATTTTTTCAGTGGGAGAGTACTTGCTTAATATACACAAGGCCCTGGGTTCAATCCCAGCACCACAAAGAAGGGGGATTTCTTATAAACTCTATARTATATAACACACTTAGTCATGATACACTTTTTGAAATTTCTTTGAGCCAGTCATGGTGACACATGCCTATAATCCTAGCAGCTAGGAAGGCTGAGGCAGGGGGATTACATGGATTACATGTTYGAGGCCAGCCTCAGCAAYTTAGTGAGACCCTGTCTCAAAATAAAAAATAAAAAAGGCTTTTGATRTAGCCCAGTGGGAAAACGCCACTGAGTTCAATTCCCAGTGTGTATGTGGAGGGTATTCCTTGAAAATCAAGAATAAAATAAGGATATTATGCTAATACCATGTCTATCAGCATTATGCTGATGGAAGTCCTATCCAATGTGGTATTTATGGCAACATGATTGTGTACTGAAAATATCAAAGAACATGTACCAAAAAACTACTAGCAATAATAAGTGAAATTTTTWCAGTCATTCAAACAAAAAATCATTTTCTATATACTAGCACTGAATAAATGGAAAACAAAATTTTTTAAAGTAAAATTTATAACAACATTAAATATTTAGGGTTAAATTATGTGYATGATCTGTACATTGAAAACTATACAGGTTTTTGCTAAGAGGTTTATTTATTAGCAAAAAATACTTCACTCAGTATTGTCAATTCTTCCAAATTTATTTGTAGGTTCAATATAATGAAAATMTGATTCTGACATTTAAATGGGATTCAAAAGATCTAGAATTACCAAACAGCRTTGAAAAAGAAAAACAAAGATGGTTAGGACTGGATGTGTAGCTCAGTAATAGAGCACATTTAGCATGCATAAGCCCTAGGTTCCAACTCCAGCACCAAAGAAAAAGAGGACTTAACACCACTTGATTTACTCCYATACCAATAAAGAAAATATTGCATTGGTGGTGAGAATCAAATACAAATCAACAGAATATCCAAAAATAGACCTATACACTCATATTGACCTGATCTTTAGTAAACATGCCAAGGTAATGTAGGAAAAAAAGATCATCTTTTTGACAAATTATGCATCACAACTGAATAATCTTATGAGAGGAAATGAACTTCAATTTAACACCATTATTTGAAAAATTTTAAGGTGTCTAGGGACTCCCTACCAGATCACACCTGGAATGCAACCCTTAAAGAGCTTCTTTAAAAGCCTTCTGTTTTCCCTGATAGGGAGAATCACAGCCTCTGGGACAGGAGTCCCCTGTATTTCTCCTTTGTTAGCAAAGCAATAAACCTTCTTTTTCCTTTTTCTCAAAAAAAAAAAAAAAAAAAAGTAGCCAAGCTTGGTGATGCATGCCTGTAATAACAGCTACTTGTGAGGCTGAGGCAGGATGACCCCTTGAGCCCAAAGAGTTCAAGCCAGCCTGGACAACACAGCAAGACACCATTCCAAAGGGAAAAAAAATTTGACAAGTTTATTCTTCAAGACAGTGTTCAGAAAATGAAAGGCAAATCATAGACTTGGAGAAAATACCTGCAAAATATTTATCCAAAAAAGGATGTACATGTAGAATGTATAAAAGWTTCTTACAACTCAATAATAAGAAAGCAAATAAGTACTGCATCGAAGAAGATATATGGATGTCAATAAGCACATGAAAAAATGCTCAAGGACATTAACGATTAGGGAAATGTAAATTAAAAGCAATGATCCAGCCAGGCGTGGTTGCGCACACCTGTGATCCCAGMGTTTCAGTAGGCTGAGGCAGGAGGATTGTGAGTTCCAAACCAGCCTCAGCAAAAAGTGAGGCACTAAGCAACTCAGTGAAACCTGGTCTCTAAGTAGAGCTGGAGATGTGGCTCAGTGGTTGAGTGCCCCTCCCTGACTGAGTTCAATCCCTGGTACCAAAAAAAAAAAAAAGCAATGATCCAGGCACAGTAGTACACACCTGTAATCCCAGCAACACCAGAAGCTAAGGCAGGAGGGTTTYAGGCCAGCTTGGGCAATTTAGCTGGATACTGTCTCAAAATAAAAATATTAAAAGAACTGGGGATGTAATTAAATGCCCCTGGGTTCATTCTTAGCACTAAAAAAAGAAGGAAGAGAAAGATGAAGAGGAACTACAATGAAATAGCACTGCTAGAATAGCTAAAATGAAAAGAACATACCGAGTACTGAGGATGTGGAATAACTGAAACAGTAGAAATGTAAATGAGAGCCATGCCTTAGGAGAACAGTTGGAGACCTGGAGATCCAGCTGAGTGGTAGCCACTTGCCTAATATGTACATGGTCCTGGTTTAATCCAAAGTATCACAAAAAAAAAAAAAAAGTCAAACATTTATCTGCCATACAACCCAGCCATTTCTTTCCTACCATTCATTTCATGGATGTTTATAGCTGCTTTATTTGTATTGCTCAACTGGAAACAAATATGTTCACCAGCATTTGGACAGATAAATAAATTGTACTATATCCATACAATGGAATACTATTGAGCAATAAAAAGAAATGAAGTACTGATACACATTACTACATGAAATGAATCTCAAAATGTCAAAAAAAGCCATACATTAAAGACTATATATGGCATGATTCCATTCTAAAAAAAAAATTGCAAACTGAGTTTTTGGAGGTGATGTTGTTATGTTGATTATCTTGATTGTTGTGGTTGTTTCATGGGTATGTACAGATGTACTCATCAAATCTATACTTTAAAAATATATACAGCTTACCTCATTGAAGCTATAAAAAATAAATAAGCTGCTATTATTATTTTGGGTAACTCACCAAGCTGCAGTTTCCTCACTGGTAAAGTAAAAAGAATAATCCATACTTCAAGGATTTATTTAAAGATTTTAGAGTGAGTGTGTGTGTGTGTATGCACACCCCATCCAGATAATACCTCCATATCACCATCTTTCCCCTTCCCAGGCCTTTTTTTTTTTTCAAATCAGTTATATTTTTATTTACCCTCTCACTTTATACTGTAAGTTCCTTGAGAGCAGGGACTTTTATCTTATGCACTGCCAACCTCTCAAATGCTCATAACAATGCTAGGAAAACAGTAAGCGCTCAGTATATATTATCAAGTAATTTAATGAATGTGTGTCTTTGTGTGTGTGTGTGTGTGTGTGTGTGTGTGTGTGTGTTAAATTTAGTGCCTAACAGAGCATGTGAATTGATGCACATTAATTCTAATCCACCATTCCCTAGTCTCTGAGTTAGTGAGATTAGCCTCCTGTTATACTTAGCAAGTCTTGGTGGCCCATTCTCTGTCAGTACCTTTTAATGGCAAATATATTTGGGAAATGACTGGGCATATTACACACCTGTAGTCCTATCTACTCACAAGGTTGAGGCAGGAGGATCACTTGAGCCCTGGGCAACACAGCAAGACCTACATTTTTAAAAATGGGGCGAGGCATGGTGGCACAACCTATTTTTCCAGCAACTCTCGAGGCTGAGGCAGGAGGATCACAGGTTCAAAGCCAGCCTAGGAAATTAAGCAAGATTCTGTCTCAAAGTAAAAATAAAAATGGGCTGGGGGTGTACCTCAGTGGTAAAGTACCCCTGGGTTAAATCCCCAGTATAGGAAGGAAGGAAGACTGGCCCTACACATCTTCAGCAAATGCATTAAATACAAACTGGCTTTTAATACTAATGAAAACCTTTCCTTCTCAGAAAATGATGACTCCAAGCTGTGTTCATGACATGATTTGAGAAATTTTCATTTTGCTTTTCTTTTTTTTCTACAGGGTTTATCCATGGCTTAGAGGACTGGGGTATACATCTTTGGGTTTATTTTTATTGGGATTTTTATTATGGAACATAGATAACATCTTTTGTGACTCGCTGAGGTAAGATATATTTTCATTCCTTGAGAAATATTTTTGGAAGCTTTGTATTAAACAGAAAATTTCTACCATTCTGCTACACCTAGAGTTCAAACTCTAGTACTGTAAAGGTAAAATTTCTAAGCTGATTCTAAGCTGCAAGAGTCTGAGTTAAAGTGTAAAAGACTGGGCATTGTAAAGTTTCTAAATTGAAAGGCTTGGGCTAAAAAAAAATATTAATAGACCAGGTATTGTTAAATTCCTCTGCTAYCCCAGGAACCTGTAATCTCTGTAGCTGTTAGGACAATACCTGAACTGCCCAGTAAATATTTCCATTGATTCCCTGGTTGTTTATTAGCTAAGGGCTCCAAATAGCTCAGTACGTAAGCATCCAGGCCACAAAACCAATCAGTTTAAATGTGTACCCCGCTCAGGAGTGACCAATCACCCCTGCCCAGAATCATGTCTCAAAGTTGTTGTTCAATTTTCCCGCGCCTCAAGATGATTTGTTCTGATGTATGCAAAGCCCCCCACCCTCTCCAAAAAGTGTACTTAAGCTCTGCTTGACCTCTGCTCTGGGCTCTGGGCTGCTCTCCCTTCCTGAGTGAGCCTTGAGCCCCAGCATGCTGGTTCAATAAA